CATATGTGTATGGGGGGGATACTATGATCATACATAGATCATACTGTATATGTGTATTTGTATGGGGAGGGGGTGCTATGGTCATACATAGATCATACAGTATATGTGTATGGGGGGGCGTGCTATGTTCATACATAGATCATACAGTATATGTGTATGGGGGAGGGGATGCTATGGTTCTACATGCAGTATAGTGCATATGATGCTATGGTCCTACATGCAGTATATATATATTTCTGCCCCTGCTCGGCTTGGTTCCTAGGATGAGGATCCTCCATATGACCCCCGGATGGTTTCGGGCCTCCCCCCTGTATCTGCTCTCTCTGTCCCCCATATAACTCCCCCTGATCATTGTGATGTGGGCCCCCCGCCGCCCACCATACAGGCCCAGGCCGCGGCTTACCGTGACTCCGTACTTGAGTGCGATCCCCTGCAGGGTGTCGGTGGGGCTGACCTGGTGCTCGATGAAGCGCTCAGCCCAGGGGGAGCGGACACTGGCCGTACTGCCGTATGAGCGGGTCTTGATGCGGGCCAGGCTCAGGGACAGCTCGGCTTCAGACTCACATTCGGAGCCGGGGAACGCCGTGTACCCCAGCCGGCTACCTCCATCCCTGTGCGACTGCAGCACCGGAGACAGTTCCGCCATTCTCTGCGGGGAGACGCTCCGGTAACGGATAACACACCGTCGGGCATACACTACACGGCGACAGACATCACTGCGAGCCGCCGCTAGGGGCGCCCTGTACAGGCCGGAGTGCGGGGAGGAGCGGAGGAGTACACCGTGCTGAGAAGACGGCGTTCCTGTACACCCCCCCCCTGCCGATCTCTCTCTTCCTCCCCCTCTCTCTCTTCCTCCCCCTCTTTGCCCTCCTCCTTCGCCCTCTCTCCCCTCTCTCTCACCCTCCCCCACTTTGGGGATGGCCCCTTCCTGTTCCAACATGACTGCGCACTAGTGCACAAAGCAAGGTCCATAAAGACATGGATGAGCGAGTTTGGGGAGGAGGAACTTGACTGGCCTGCACACAGTCCTGACCTCAACCCGATAGAACACCTTTGTGATGAATTCGAGCGCAGACTGCGAGCCCGGCCTTCTCGTCCAACATCAGTACCTGACCTCACAAATGCGCTTCTGGAAGAATGGTCAAACATTCCCATAGACACACTCCTAAACCTTGTGGACGCCTTCCCAGAAGAGTTGAGGCTGTTATAGCTGCAAAGTGTAGGCCAACTCAATATTGAACCCTACGGACTAAGACTGGGATGCCATTAAAGTTCATGTGCGTGTAAAGGCAGGCGTCCCAATACTTTTGCCAATATAGTGTATATGTGTGTGTCATTATGTATGTATGTATTAGGGATGTCTTGATACCACTTTTTCAGGCCCAAGTACAAGTACATCCCCTCATGTACTTCCGATACCAGTTACCGATACTTTTTTATAAAGGGACAGGTAACTTTAAATGATCCATAGTACAACTACATGTTATGTACTATGGATCATGATTTAACCTATTCATGTTAGCAGCGGAGAATTGTAAATCTATTGCTGCAGTATAGTGGAGGTGTGTGCTGTGTATATGTACTACATATACATTACACACGTCCAGTGCACTATAGCAATAAATATAAACAAATGCACCGCGCCAGGGGCCCAAAGGGCAGCTTGTATCATAAACCTATTCTAAAAGTGATTTTATAAATGAATTGATTAATATCAATCACGTGTAAATTAATAAATAGTACCACTATGTGAAAAATGATTAATAAATATTACCACTATGTAAAATTGTTACCACTATAAAAAGAAATGCAAACAGATACAAATCGTGCAAAATATACATGTGCAAAAAAATCATAAATATCTAGATAAGAATTGCTTCCTATCTTATAAAGTGATTTAAATGTCTTCTTTGAATTCCTTTATGATACCATTAACTCATATTTTCAGGTAATCAGTCCATAATCCATTAAATGAAAAAAATTACATTGTGAAAAAGAAATATTCAATTGCGAAATGATAACAAGTCCCACAAAGTGCTTGATGATCTCTCCAGAGATCGTGATTGTGCCACGCACTCACCACAATGAAGATAGCTATAGATTGATATCCAGACAGCTCCCTAGTAGACCCCGATGTCCCAGCGTCTCCTTTAAATACTTTCACCGAGATGTCCCATGGATCGATATATCCCACAATAGGATGGCAGTTAATAGATATCCAGAAGGCTCCCAGATAGACCCCGATGTTCCAGCGTCTCCTTTAAATACGTTCACCGAGATGTCCCATGGATCAATATATCCCACAATAGGATGGCAGTTAATAGATATCCAGAAGGCTCCCAGATAGACCGCGATGTCCCAGCGTCTCCTTTAGATCCTTTCACATAGATATCCCATGGATCGATATATACCCCCATAATCATAGAAAGAAGAAGCTCCTCATTGTATAGTAGTCAAGACCATTTATTTAAAAAAAGATTTAAAAACTCGCATTCATAAACGATACAACCGGCCAGTAAAATTCAACAGGAGTTCAGGAGCCCGCACTTCCGTGTTTTGTATGATCTCAGACAGACCCGCCCCGACGCGTTTCGTCATCAAAAGACATCTTCAGGGGGATAACGTAAATATGAGTTAATGGTATCATAAAGGAATTCAAAGAATTCATTTAAATCACTTTATAAGATAGGAAGCAATTCTTATCTAGATATTTATGATTTTTTTGCACATGTATATTTTGCACGATTTGTATCTGTTTGCATTGTTTTTATAGTGGTAACAATTTTACACAGTGGTAATATTTATTCATAATTTTTCACATAGTGGTACTATTTATTAATTTACACGTGATTGATATTAATCAATTCATTTATAAATCACTTTTAGAATAGATTTATGATACAAGCTGCCCTTTGGGCCCCTAGTGCTGTACATTTATTTATAGTTAGACTAGGTTGTCTATAGTGCAGCGGCTTCATATTTATAGTTTGCTGAGGAACACTCCGAAGCGCAGAATTACAATAACCTTCTACACTATAGCAATAGATTTACAGCCAGCCCTGTCCCAGCTTCCCTCATTCACAGTTTCACTCCGATCCCTGTTGCCTCACGCGCTGCCTCTTGTAGTTGGCGCTGGGCAGGATCGCTGCATTGCATCTCGGTGCTCAGCTTGTGGGAGGCGCTCACAATTCTGCCCTGCTAACATGAATAGGATAAATCATGATCCACAGTACTTATACAGCACACACATCCAGTGCACTGCAGTAATAGAGTTACAATTAGCTCCTGCTAACATGAATAGGTTAAATGATCCATAGTACATAACATGTAGTTGTACTACGGATCATTTAACCCATTCATGTTAGCAGATCCGAATTGTAAATCTACTGCTGCAGTGCATTCTATATGTAGCACATATACAGTACAAATAATGCACTGCGGCAGTAGATTTACAATGATCCTCTGCTAATATGAAGGGGTTAAATGATCCGTAGTACATAATAGGGATGTCCCAATACCACTTTTTCAGGACCAAGAAAGAGGTACTTCCCCTCATGCACTTGCCGATACCAATTACCGATACCTTTTCTTAAAGGGACAGGTGACTTTAAATTATCCATAGTACAACTACATGTTCTGTACTATGGATCATGATTTAACCTATTCATGTTAGCAGCGGAGAATTGTAAATCTACTGCTGCAGTGTAGTGGAGGTGTATGCTGTATATATGTACTACATATATATTACACATGTCCAGTACACTATAGCAATACATTTACAGTCAGCCCCATCCCAGCTTCCACCCCTCCCAGTCCACATCTTTTGGACGTTATTAATCTGAGTTGCCCCACTCAGTATGCCCCTCGCTTGTGGTCATATTAAGTGGGGCACTCATATTAATAACATGCTGGATTAGTCTGACCCAGGGGCGGACTAGGCCCCGGGGCAGGGTGGCAATTGCCCCGTGCCTCTCTGATACCTTTGCAAACGCCCCCCAGCGCTGGAAGCACTTAATCTCTCCCCTCTTGGCTGCTGCAGCAGCAAAGCTGCCGAGAGGGGAGGATTAAATGCTTACGGCGGCGGTGGGGGGCGTTTGCAAAGGTATCAGAGAGGCACGGGGCAATTGCCACCCTGCCCCGGGGCCTAGTCCGCCCCTGGGTCAGACTAATCCAGCACGTTATTAATATGAGTGCCCCACTCAATATGGCCGCAAGCGAGGGGCATACTGAGTGAGGCAACTCAGATTAATAACGTCCAAAAGATTTGGACTGGGAGGGGGGCTCTTTAATACTGCTCTGACTTTAAGACTGTGGCAGCGGGGAGAAGAGAATAAGAAGCTTGACTACCATCGTCTGTGCCCGCTTCGATTGGGCTCCTCGACGGCCACAGCAGTTTCCTCCACCCACCTCAGCTGCATTGGTGGGAGAGGAAGACTGCCGAATGGCAGTTGGCCGGCTTCTGCTGCGCAGAAGAGAGAGCCGGCTGAACAGCGTGTCACACCCTGACCTCTGCACTGCATGCCGCATTGCTGACCTCCGCACTGCGCGTCATATTGCTGACCTCCGCACTGCGCGTCATATTGCTGACCTCCGCACTGCTGGTCACATTGCTGACCTCCGCACTGCACGTCACATTGCTGACCTCCGCACTGCGCGTCACGTTGTTGACCTCTGCACTGCGCGTCACATTGCTGACTGGTGTACTGTGCGTCACACAGCTGGCCTCTGTATTCTGCATTGCACCACTGACTTCTGTACTGTGCATTGTTACTGATCTTTGTACTCTGCGTCACACCGCTGACCTGGCGGAGTTAAGGCCGGGGCAGGGTAGGGGTTAGTTGGGGCAACTGGTGGCGAGTAATTTTTAAGGCCTAGTAGCTACTGGCTAGTAGCTTAGGACTTGAAATTTTGAGCCCTGGTCTATTGGGTACAACTACATGGTAGGGTGTTTTTACTCCTACAGATTTAGTAGACTGAAGTAACGACCTGCTTCTTCACTATTCTGCCTGTAGCATTGGAGGAGTATCAGACCTTAGGTCATAGGCCAGCCATCTGATATTTGTTTTATTTCATAATCGCCTCTTCTTGCTCCAGGGCACTTTTTCCTGCAAGTCGGGTATTAAGTAATGGCTACAAATCTGCCAATCGGGTTTGAAAGACGGGTTGCTGAGAGTTCATGTAACGAAGGATTAAACGGCCTGTTACATTTTTAGGAAAGTAAATAGAAAAAAAAATTTTTTTAGTCTGCAGAAGAGGAAAAAAAAAGCGTGATTTTCTCCCTTTAGGACAGGTAGGTAATTCTAGGAGGGACCCTCCCCCAAGTTAAGACAAAAAAAAAAGTGTGTGGGATTCCCCCGAAAATCTATACCAGGTGCTTTAGGTCTGGTAGGAATTTTAAGGGGGAAACCCAGCCCCCAAAAATGTGGGGGCCCCCCTAACAGTCCTACCAGACCCTTGATCCGAGCACTGGCAGGGCAGGAAAGAGGGGGGCGAATGTACTGTGCATCACACCCTGACCTCTACAGCGTGTCACACCCTGACCTCTGCACTGCATGCCGCATTGCTGACCTCCGCACTGCGCGTCATATTGCTGACCTCCGCACTGCGCGTCATATTGCTGACCTCCGCACTGCTGGTCACATTGCTGACCTCCGCACTGCACGTCACATTGCTGACCTCCGCACTGCGCGTCACGTTGTTGACCTCTGCACTGCGCGTCACATTGCTGACTGG